AGCAGTATTTCCGCTCGGCTTTGCCTGCTGAAAATGTTTTCCCCAAGGTGCAACTGCAGAATCATGGGCCGGGACGCAAAGGCCTACGCCGCGGTGTCTCCTTCCAGGCTGGCCCAGAGGTGCTGCAGCCGTTCACTCCAGGCCTTCACCCTGCCCTGTCCAGGCCGCCTTCCTCAGTGGGCCAATTTGGCCCTCGCTTGTCCTGGTCATCCCGCGGCTGCACCAGGACGGTCACTGTCCCCCGAGGGTGGCAGTTTGGCTCACCCCCTCCTGGCACAGTCAGTAGTTTATTCACCGAGTGTCAAGGAGGTGCCAGGCTCTGCTTGAAACAGAATCAGGGTCCCCATCTTCCCTCAAAGTCGCTGTCTTTTCCAAGTAACTCTGTGGCTGGTGACATTCGAAATAGCTCGACCCGTTCACGGTCCAAACCCCCATATAACCGGCACCCAGGTCAAGTGCACAGACGTGACCCGCACCTCAGGGTCCCAGGGTCCCCCTCAGCCTGCACGTTCACCAGCATCCTGCAGGCTTCTCACAGCGGGCATTGTTTCGCATGTTCTGAATCCCTTATCAGTGGAATTATACACCACGAACTTCAAAATGTCTCCTCCACCCAACACCATGCTCGTGTGAGCTGCTGTGACGTGTTCTGCTGTGTGACTTTCCCTGACTCCGCCTTCCTAATGCGCCTTTTACCATTTGCCATCCCTATTCTGTTTTCTGTTTGGACATATGTGTGCATTTTTGTTAGGTATAAAGTTGGGGATGACGGCGGGGTCAAGGGGCAGGTATGCCTAGCTCCTTTTGAGGGGTGAGGGTACCAGAGATTGAACCCAGGGTCTTTCCCCCGACATACCCAGCATCCCTTCTTATTGAGACAGAGTCTTGCTAAATTGCTCAGGCTAGGCTCAAACTTGTGACCTTCCTGCCTCAGCCTCCCAGAGTGCGGGTACTACAGGAATGTGCCACCACCCAGCACCTAGTACCTGAGTGCCCCAGTGAATAATGCCTGCATTTCAGAGGGAACGGCAAAGCAGGAGCTGGGTCATAGGCCGCCTCTCGCTGAATTCTCTCCCGAGCTTGGCTCTACGTGCAGGGCTCGGCAGCATCTGCCTCCGTTCCCACCCCAGCCAGGGGCCAGCGGCGTCTGCTGTGCAGCTGCTGGGGGCCGGGCTCTGCGGTGTGAGAGCTCAGCGCCATTCCAGACATCGGTTCCTCAGAAGCTGCCTGATGTGCGTCCCAGAGGTCAGGATTCGGTCCTAACGGTGTTGGAGGCCACAGGCCCGCCCTCAGCACCCTGGGGACCTCTTCGCTCTGGAAGCGCGAGTCGGCCTTCACCCTTCAACCCCCACAGCCTCCCGTCACCTCCAGCTGTGCCGGCGATGTCCAGCCAGCTCCCTCCATGTGTACCCTTGACTGTCCCGTGACCCATAGGTCCCCCCGAGGGGCTGGCACAGAGCAGACCGAAGGCCCAGACAGATGCCAGGGAACACAGGGCAGCTCCCGGAATCCACGGCCTCTGTGGCCCATGTACGTGCTGAGTACAGGAAGAACCTAAGTCAGCAGGAGCCCTAATTATCTGAAGGGACCCTGGTGAGTTCTGTTGGACCCAGTGATCTTGTCCGGAGACCACCATACTGGCTGTAGGCACCTAGGGCCCTGGGTTCTTTGGGGAATCCAAACCCCTGGTGTCCTTCATAAACCCAGGGCAGCTTCTAAGTCACGCAGGGGTCACCCCTTTATTCTGGATTCCAGGTGTAACAGGCTGTGTGTCCCCCGTGCAAGGCACACGCAGGCCAGGTCTTCGCAGGGTGGCCCTGCCAAGACCCACGCGGCTTTTCCAGGTCTTTCTGAGGACAAATGGATGTGGCTACATCTGCTTTGTGGAAACGCAGCAGAGTCGACAGGCAGACTGTGAATGTGAGGGAATGGCTCAGCCCTGCATTTACTGCACAGGGCCTGCTTCTGGCAGAGAGCAGATGCCCACAGCGGGGTGGTCAGACCCACTCCCCCGGGGCAGCCTGGCCTCAGAGGTGGTCGGAGGGGCTGTGACAGAGCAGCTGGTGCCAAGGGTCGGGCGGGGCAGGAGGGGAGATGGGAGCAGCTAGGCCCTGAGCCCAATTCCCGTGAAGGCCTTTCAGGTCTGGGCGCTGCACTGAGCACCAGGCAGGGTTAGGCCAAGCGAGGCCGGGTTGGGCCCCGGCCCAGCTGCAGCACCGAGGGCCGAGCTGGGGCATCCCCACAGTCCCCTCCTACAGCTGGGCCGGCCTCACCTTGGGGTGCAGAGACAGTAAGGGGAGCAGAGTGGGTCAGACTCGGTGGGGGACGGGGTATCACAGGGTTTGGAGCTCTGGCTCTGCTCCCAGTGGCAGAGACCACTGTGGCTGTGACTCACGATGGCACCCAGGCCCGCTCCCTGGCCGCCGGCTGAGGGCTGTGACTGAGAAGCAGCCACCACGGGAATGCTTTGGGAATGGTCCCTGACCACAGGCTGCTGTGTTTCATGGGCCCGTGATGCTGCAGGTTTTGTCATCTTGCAGGGAAGCTCCAGGCCTGTCCAGGAGAAATCGCTTGGGTTTTACACCAGGTGACAGGCTAGGGGTCAGGGCTTAGAGGTCCCCCCAGAAAACCCCTGCTGTCTGATCTCCCATCTGCAGGTTTTCAGGGACTCAAGCCAAGGGTGAGACAGCCAGGAAGACCCACCTGGCCACAAATGTCTCAGGCACGTCTGGGGCACATGGGATGGGACCACTCCTCGGGGGAAGCTGGCTCTCCCAGGCCACACGGCCTGGTCTCGGCCCCTTCCAGCAGAAACACACAACAGTGGGTATGGGCCCTGCCTGGACTCTCCCCTTGTACCCAGATTCCAGGAAATTGGCTTCCTCCAGAACTCAAGATCTGAGGACTTTCTAGCTTCAAACTGACGACTGGGTTGTTTAATTGTAAGAGCAACACGGATTCAGTTTAGAAAACTAAAATTCAAACAAGTCACCATGAACACTTAGTATCTTGGCATATTTACCTTGCCTTTTGTATTTCTCTCAGCTTCTTTTATCTCTGTGGTTCAGAAACACTGTGTCGCCCTCTCATAGCCTCTCCTTGCATCCTGCTGCAGCAAGACGGAGCCCCAAGGTCTCGGCTTGGTTCCGTCGCTGAGCCCTGCTGGGGTCAGCAAGTTCCCAGTGACTGAGCTGTAAGGAGGATGAGACCGGACGTAGTCGTGGCAGAATTAAAGTGTGCGTAGCCAGCAGTTGCAAGAGGCTACGCTAAGAGGCCCTCTGGAGCTTGGCAACACAATCATGTGGGACTAAATTAGCAGGACGCACACACCGTGGGTGGAATCCCCTGCCGGCAGGAGTCACTTCATTGGACAGGGCAGAAAGAGCTGGCCCGGAGAGCGATGGGGATTCGATTAACAGGGCGCAGCCACGGCCTGCTGCAGGCAGGGCTCTGCAGAAACACGGGCGTGGGTGTGGGTGTGCACGCGTGTGCCAGGGAAGGGCCGAAAAGGGGCAGTGACACTAGCAGCTGCCCTGAGGAGCCACCAGGAGGGGGTAAGGTGCTCGCTGGCTTGGAGACAGTGATGTAGGCAAAGGGCCCCTCGGCCCACGTTCTGGGTTCCGATCTAACTCCCAGGTGACAAGCACTGCCACGATGAAGCGGAAGGCAGCAGCTGAGCGCGGATCACTAACGTCAGCGGAGGAATCATTCCTGACAACGGCTGACCGGCCTCTCGGAGGCGGTGCCTCCCGGGTGTGCTGCACAGAGACTGGGCACTGAGCCCTGGGGACCCCAAGGCCCCGCGGGCCTGCAGCCTGCTCAGTCACCGCAGCTAGAACGTGGCTCGTGGGAAATAAATGCTACTTGTGAGGGAATTCGTTTTATTCAGTATAAACCTAATGTAGCCAACAGAAAAAGTTCTGATTACAAAGAGTGCTGGGAGTTCCAAGGGTGACCGTGAGCACGCTGGGTAACAGCTACCTGCACTTCGTAAAGTTCATGAAGTTCCAACGGGGGAAGGAGCAGAAATGGCTTATTTCTTAGCACACTGTACCTACCTGCCATTGGGGTGGGGTTCAAACTCCAAAACAGATTTGTTCTGATACAAAAGAAAATCACATTTATTTTGCACGGCAGTATTCCTAAAGTTATACATGAAAGGAAAGTGGAGCTGTCTTAGGAAAACAGAATATAATTTTAGGAAATTACAGAAGAGTCAACATTGTGCTTAAAACTTCATAACAGTTTTTAAAAACAGCACAGTAAGAGAATACTGCACGCTATGAACAGGTTTACACAGCGCCTGTGAACACAAAGAGCCCGAAGCTCCGCACTCGGACCTCTGGGATGGGCTGGCAGCCAGGGCGGGAAGAGCCCGCCCCACCTGACCGACACCAACCGACACTCCGAAGCCCAGTGAGCACAAGGAGCGGCGGCAGCATTTTCAAATGGTCAGTTAATTTCCAGAAGCGCCCTTTTACTGATGTTTGGACCTGAGTCAGGCGGACATCCCTGGAACGCACCCCTCACCCGACTTTTCCCTCCTCCACGGAAGATGCCCCACCCGAAGCAGAAGTGCTGTCCTTCCGGTTCCTGCTCACACCACCTCTGGGCAAGGGGTAAAAATGGTGCAGTTGTTCTCCTCATGTAGAAAGCCAAAATGTGACAAGAAAATTGTGCAAACAGGATGTATCAGGAATGATCAAGAGCCAACTGTATAAACGCTACTTCGTTCAACCTGTGCTTTTCCTTGCCTAGTAGTATCTACAGTGCCACGCTAACTGGGGACTCTGACAGCTTTCTGAACTATCTGGTTACATCCTCTTCCCCAGAAAGAGAATGAAATTGGCATAAAAGGAGTTTACGATCAGTCCCTAAACTCTCATGTTTCAAAGAGACCAGGAAATACAGGTTAAGAAGGCTACCATTCCCAAGATATATAAACAAATCCTAATCCAAGGAATGTCAGGAAACAACTATGTGGTTTTGTTCTGGTCTTCTGTATTCCCTTGAAATGCAAGTCAACTTTTTTAAAAAGATTTCCTCAAATTTGCTTAAATTTATACCTTTCCTTAAATGTATTCAATTTATTCCTTAAAATTATAATGTAAAAAATACCTAAATTCGATATTAAAGCCTTACTGTACTAAATGGTTATAATCACAAAAGCATTTTTGAAGTTTAAATTCTAAAATCCTGGTTAGAGAAGAAAGCTAAGTTCCACATTTGGAGGGATCAACTTTCTAAAAAGGGGAACAGTGCCAGTTTCCACAAACACCCAAGAGAGCAGTTCATCCACCCACAGGACCATCCTGCTCTCCAAGTGAGCACCCTAGGTCCAAATGATAAAGCTATCGCATCTCACTGTACAGGTATTAATCAAAAGCTTATGTAACATGACTGTGCTTAATGTCTATAGTACACATTGCAGTCTATTTCTAAAGTGCCTATAAATATGCTTATGCAAATTAGCAGTATATCAGGATTATAGAGGAATTCCTTTAATATGGAACAGAATAGGCCTAGGATTTAAGTTGAAAGTACACACTTTTAAATCTGTAGTTATTTCAGAATGCAAGCATAAACAAGTCCAGTTCAACCATATTTCAGAGAATTATCACTATTAACAGTGCTAGGAGAAAAGGAATTCTTGCTTGTGCTTATTTGGAAAAGGCTGTTTTGAGATCCAGGAGTATCTAATATTTAGAACCCTATGGAACATCTCCAATTCTATAAAATATTAGGTGAAGCTTAGTTTTAATTATAAAGAGATTGTGCAAATATTTGAAGTGATTATCAATCATTAAATCCAAAAATTCCATTAAAATGTGGCTACTCTGAGTGGCAGGTTGAGAGGTTAAAAAACAGGAACCTGGACAAAAGTCACCGGTGTTACTAGTGAAGGCCCAAGGCTGATGCGAACATGCACCACATTTCCATGGCTGGGAGACTTGACTGTTGACTCTACTTGGTCTAATGGGTGTGGCTGTGGGCCCAGGATAGCCCTTGGGGATGGCATAGAGAAGACACCCTCTGCAGCAGGGGATTCAGCACTCGCCCAATGGGCCACTAGACAAGGCGCAGAGTTGCAGGTATAGCCCTGAGCATGAACTGCAGGTTACGCTCATCAGACAGCCCCAGGCCCCCAGGCCAGGGTGGCAGGGAAACGCCTCCAGCTCCCACCCCATCCATCTGCCCTCTGCCTCACTCCCTGAGCTCCTCTCACCACCTTCTTGGTTTGACTTGTTGAGCCTTTCAATTTCAGTAAGTGGGAACCTTAGGCTGCTGTCTTGTCTACCACAAAGTTTTAACACTTTTCAAAGGAAAACACCTATTCCGCCTTCTAAACCCTATGGGTGTTTTGGGGACCTTAACCTCACCACATTCAGTAAATCACTCCAGCTGTACGTACAACTAGGAAAGCGGGTCCCCCCTCGAGTGGTTTGTGGAGAATACCAGAGGCTTCAGTGACGATGCCGTGAGCCTCCTCTGCTTTCCTACACTGCACACTACGGTGACACAGAAGAGATGTGTCACAATGCTGACAGCACGAGATACGCCACAGGAGCACGCGAACAGAGCTAGGACGGAAGTGTTCTCTCCAACTTGGTGGCTGTCACTTCCTCAGGCCATATTTAAAACTTCTGGATTCTTAACTATGCCTTGTGTATAGAAGATTTGGAGAAATGGCAGAAAACCAACTAACGTGGTCTAGATGGAGATTAGGAGTAAAATTCTGAAGGGAACAAAATAAATTATTCACTATGTTGTACATATGAAAGAAAACATACAATGGATTGGGAATATTAGTGATTACCCAAAATATTTTCTCATGACTTAGCAGTGAACTATTTCAACTGCTTTTGCATTGCATAAAAAATCCATGCATCATACTGAATTCTAATCCATTTCTCACCTAAAGCCATTCTAATGCTTCATACAACCAAATGAAGCAGAATTAATCAAACCTATTAGATTCATTCCTAATTCCTATAGGACTTCTGTCTTTTAGCATTTCCATGCTAACTAAAACTATTGTTTTAAGATGTCAAAAGTGGCTGCCTCCTAAATACAATACCTAAAGAACTTCCTAAAAGTTTTCCTCAGATTTGAAGAACAATTAAGCAGAGAAGATGAGGAATCCACCGGAGAGGCCAACTGAAACGTCATGGCCAAAGCCAAGTCCATCTGCCCTTCCCCTGGGTTCCCAGAGCATTGTGGGTACTGCTAGGTGTGGGAATGAGGGCCCCTTCCCAGTGGGAATCGGGTCCTACTCCTGTACCGCAGCCCCCCACTGCGTGCAGACATTCACCTGCAGCTGTAGCAAGCCCGGAACTGAAGCATCCTCTCTCCATACGGCAAGGTCTAGCTCTGCCCCCGTCATGGAGGGCTCCGCGGACAGTGGCCATCACCAGAAGCCAAACTGTCCTCCAGGAAGCGCCTAGAAGGAAGTGGGCACCTCTGGGCTAGACCCAGAACAGGGGCAGGGAGAGGGGAAAAAGGGAAGGAACGGCACTGATCATGAGCTGCCTGGCCCGTGGGGCCAGCAGGACGGGGATGCCAAGAGTCTCTGCAAAGGACTGGCTACTTGGGGAATACGGTTGCCTTCACCCTGGGTGGCTCCTCCATCTGATCCATGATACTCTGTGATCACCATTTCGCTGCTTTCAAAAGTTCCCAGTGAAATTAAGGCTGGGTCAAAATTCATGACACCAGTTGCTACACAGAAAGTGAGTCAAGATACAAAAGAAAACTGCTGGTAATAGAAAGGTCTTAGTTATAAGACTAATGTAAGAGTGACACTAATCAGCAGACCACCAAACTGCTATGGTTGGTAGAGAGGGGTAGAAATATCAACAGCATTGGAAAGAGATCCATCAGACAAAAGTACAAAAGCTGGCGTGGATTGGAGTCTGGCTCCTTCCCGACTCTCACACCGTGGTTTCTATGGTTTCAATCACTTCCAGGTCAGACTGTGATGGCGAAAGCAGGGTGCACTCGTCCGGCTCCCAGCTGCTCTCTGGACTGTAGTCTTCCTCTGAGCTCAGTTCTGCTCCTTCCTCCGTGTCCTCATCACACGATTCCACATAGTGAGCCCCGATCGCGTTGATCCCGGAGTCCTCAGAGCTGGAGGGAGAAGAGCACTGATCTATTTTTGGTGTACTGCTCGCTTCTGAAATTAAGGCATCGCGTGCAGAGACCTCGGGGCTCATCTTGCGGGAGTGCGGTGCCGGCTGCTTCTGCACGTAGCACATCTTCCCGTTAATGCACTTCACCTGGTAGTTGTCGAGGAAGAGGTCTGAGATCATGCAGTACCTTGGCGAGTCGGGGGGAAGGGGAGGCTGGAAGACAGAAGCGAATTTCAGAAAGTGTTCGGTGAGCGACACTGAGATCTGAATGGTGTTTGTGGGTTCGCGGGGCCTCGCGGGGATCTCGGTGCTTGGGAGCTGCTCCACGGGCGTCATGGGCTGATACACATATTTGCCTGTGGGACACACAAGACACAGGTGAGGTCTAAGTGTTACACAAACTGCATCAACGCACCTGTAATCATTTCCTTCAGATGACTCGATGTTTAAAAAATATTTCGGTACTATCCCAAAAGAAACGAGTCATAGTCTTTCACTACTGTTAGAATCCTCTTCAAAAGCACGGTGTCGATATACTATTATTACTCCTCTAAGAACCTCAACAGGCTTCCCAGACTGAGCTGTTCCAATGCCTCTGAAGGAGGAGGCACGCATACTAGTCCTTATTTTACAGACAACATTAAGTGACTCACTACCGTACTGGAGTGAGGAATGCCATGGGGTGGGTGGTAAAAAGTTACAAAATGGTGGTGGTACTACACTATAAATTACGTTTCCATTTTAATCTTCAATGAAAAGTTAATAGAGGCATTTAAAAGCTAGAAGAATATATACCAATTTATCACCAGAATCTCGGAGACATTCACTTTCTAGGTTTCTAGGTTTTTTTGTCGTTGGTGCCGGGTCAAACCCAGAGCCTTGAACATGCTAAGCAGCCAGGTCTGCCATGGAGCCATCCCAGGCCCTCGGTTCATATGTTTTGTCCAGATCACACACATTTCCACGCCTGCTTCAGGGTGAGCGTAATGATCTCTCTCAAGACCCAGAGGGCCCCCATGCCTAAAAGAGAGGCGTCCCCCAGACGCCAGCGTGGTCAGCCAGGTAGGTGTCTGCAGGGAACCACGCGGCTCACCTCCAGGCCTTTCCCTCTGCTCTCGGCCTCCAACCACTTCACAGTTCACACGGCAGTGAGACCTAAATGGATCTGGTCTCCATTTCACGTGTAGCAAAGCCCCCCTTGTGCCAAGTGCTAGGGAAACAGGTGAAAATTAACCAGTCTATAACTCTCAAATGATTTAAAAATTTTTAAAAAACAAGGGGAAAAAATGCCTCCCCAATCCAAAGGTAGTAGTCACTATTGAGGCTACCATCTTGGATTTTTCCTAATTTAGAGGAACTGTTGTCGGCCCGAGGTGCATCTGCTGCACATACTTGGGACCATGCTTTGTGGCCTGGCACCACTGGCATTTGGGCTCAGGTAATGCTGTGCCCTGAAGGATATTTGGCAGCATCCCTGGCTTCTCCCCACTCTAGAAGCCAGCATCAGATCCTCACCAAGCATGAGAATAAAATGTGTCCAGACACTGTTCAATACCCCCAGCAGGGCAATGGTCTGGCACGCAAGAATCACGAGTGGGCGTCTTCTTTGTGGAAACAAATCACTCATCATGCATGTCATTTGCTCCTGTTTGCTTTTGTTGGTCAGACTGAAAATCCTCACATGAATCACATTTGTAATGAAACCATCTTAGGTGGTATTTTTTAAACTGTTGATTCATTCATGGAAGAATAGTGATTTCAGGTCAGGAATGAAGAGGTACTCTATACCATAAATCGCATGCCATCAGTAAGCTATGAAAATCAGCCAGCCTACTTGCATTTTTCATTTTGGTTTCCTGATTCCTGAACCCAAAACAAACCTTAGATGTCATAATTCCTTTGTGATTAAGTTGCTCTAAAAATATCTTCAGCTTCATCATGGAGCACCCCATGGAAGAGGTGCATTTAAAATCCAGTGTGTGCTATCCCTTCCAGTTCACAGGGGGTCTCCAAACCCAGACAAATGTCACGTAAAGCCCACAGTGTGAGAACATGTCAGAGGGGCCCAGTCCCGCCTGCCGGGACCCCCACTTCTCTGCTTGCTGCCAGCAGGACCCTGCCTCTACACCGTGGACAAAGGGGCCTGGGGTTGGAGTGGGTGAGCGTGGCCAGGGCTGGAGCAGAAACGCGGGCCGTGACCCTGTCCTGTCCGCAGAGTGGTGAACAAATTGCCTGGGATGGCAGTCTGGCCTTTCTATCCTTGGCCAGAGGCTACTGAGCTCAGGGGGCTGCGGACAGCTGGCATTCAAGAAACACTTGGTGCAGAACAGAATGCAGACCACAAGTGCACTCGACCACAGCTGATTTCTGTCACACCGAGGAGGATCCTGGCAGTGATCCCTGCTTTCCAGAACCACCCTCAGCCATTCGCACAGGGTGCAGGGCGTCGGTCCAGACAGGGAAGAAGGGAGCCTGACCCTGGACTTCACTTTCGCTCTCTATTCCTCTACCCTACTCTTTTTCGTCCTCCTGTGCTGCTTCATACTTTTCTTTGGTTTCTTTCCTCCTGGTCCTTCTACCTCTTTCACTGGCCCTCTCTCCTCCACAGCTCCTTATTTCTCGGAGTGAGGTGCTATGGATGAATGTTGTGTCCCCCACCCACCAGGATCTGAATGTGGAAGGCCGAGTACAGTGGGGTTTGGAGGGTCTGATGCCCTTAGCAAGAGGAAAAGGCAGAGCCCTCGCGCTTCCAGGCGAGGATTCACCCTGACTGGACACTGAACCTGCCAGCACCTTGATTTTGGACCTGCCGGCCTCCTCATTGTGGGAAATGTTTGCAAGTTAGGCCGTCAAGTCCGCTTTGTACTAGAGCAGTCCGAACTGATCCAGACGTGCAGAGAGATGCAGTCGGAAGGATCCCATCTCCGTCCAAGGCGCACCCCCTGAATGTGCTTACTCGGAGCTGGTGTCAGATCCTGGGATCTGGGGGTATGGATGCAAAGAAGGGAGAGGAGAGCCGTACAGAGGCCACACGAGGAACAGCTTCGCATGTGCCTTTCTCCTGTGACTGTTACATGATGCTGCTGCGGCTTCTATCCAGGTGTCCCCCAAAGCCTCATGTGCTCACGGGTGGGCTTTGGGGAGTGACTGGACTGAGGGTGTGTGGTGCTGGACTGGTCCACTGGCGGCTTTATAGCTGGGTGTGCTGTTGGGAGGGGAAGCCTGGGACGATGCAGGTCACTGTGCACGCGGCCTGGAAGGCATGCGTAGTCCCTTCTGCTCCCTTGATCTGCCACTGTCTTCCTGTCTGCACTCCGTGAGCTCTTTCTCCTCTGCCAGCCCCACTGCCTCAGAGCCAACCAACTATGGACTGAAACCTCTACAAACTTTAAGTTAAAATAAACCTTCCCCTAACATGTGGACAGGTATTTTGCCCCAAGTATGAGAAACACCAATACTATATTGTTTGATGTGCTTAGAAACAAAAGCTTCAAAAACATGTTTGGAATAGTGCTTAGCTAGCACGCGTCAGGTCCTGGGCTCCATCCCAGCACCACACACACACACACACACACAAAAGTTCATATCAAATATTTGCTTTCTAGACTCTAGAGGGGTTAATACTTTTCTTCAGTCCTCAATAATTCTGCCCCCATGGGGCACTGTGCTGCAGATCCGTGCTCTCAATAACAGCTTTCCGTCACACATGAGGAAATACTGACTAGTTTCTCTGGTATGAGAAATGGAAAGTGTAAATAAGAATCAAAATGTATAATGGATAAGGTGAAATAGGAAGTAAAGGTCCAAAGGGGAAGGGGAAGTGGGAGGGGTTGAAGAAAGGAATAAATATGAGACAAGGAAAAACCAGAAACAAAGTGTTTGTCAATAAGGGGGAGTAAAGGGAGGGCAGGGAGTCGGGGGAAAGTAAGGACCAAGATCCATCACGTAAAGGTATGAACTCCCAATGATGAATGTCAACATACTGCATACCTAAAATGTACCAGTAAAATGAAAAAAACTAGCTACAAAAACTTGGACAAAAAAAAGTAGATGAGAAGTTTTGAAACTTAACGCTGTAAAAGAAACCAGATTCAGGGTGTAAAGAAGAGGGTCGGCCAGGGATTTAGCTCTGGTTCCGCCACCTGCCTGCAAGGTCCCGAGTTTGATCCCTGGTACCAAAAAACAAAAACAATAAAAAAAAAAAAAGAAAAAGAAAAGAAGAGGAGTGAGGGTAAAATAAGAATCTAGAGAGTATCACATGATCCAGCAATCCTAATTTTGGGCATATATCCAGAAGAATAGAAAGTAGGGGCTAAAGTAGGTATTTGTACACTCATGTTCCAGCAGAATTACAACAGCCAAGAGCAACTCAAATTTCTGTCAACAGCTGAACAACTCCATTCATCTGAATTTCAGCCTTAAAAGGAAGGACATTCTGACACGTGCTACAACCTGGATGGGTCCTGAGGATACTGTGCTGAGGGAAATGAGCCAGTCGCAGCAAGATGAACACTGTAATTCCACCATCTGAGGTGCTGAGAGTAACCAAACTCATACAAAGTACAATGGTATCTTCCAGGCTGGGCACAAAAGGAAATGGGAAATTTGTTTAACCAGATGTTTGAGTTCTACGAGATGAAAACAGCTGTGAAAGTAGATGGTTGTGACAGCTGTACAGCAGAAATGTAATTAAAGCCACTGGATTATACACTTTAAAATGGTTAGGATGGTAAAGGTGATGTACATTTCTACCATTACTTAAAAACCTTCTTTAAAAATTGGCATAATTTATTAACAGACTGGGAAAAACTTCATATGCTCCAGAATAAATGAAGAATTCTTACAATTCAGTAATAAGAAAGAGAAACCAAGTTTAAAAAATAAGCGTGGCCGTACCACAGAGTGACGCCAGGGGCCCTTGTGGTGACGGAAAACGCTGCGCTTAACTATCCCAGCGCTAATACTTGGCTGTCATATTCTACAGCTGCCATGGGAAGTGCTTGGTGAAGAGTACACAGGAATGCTGTATTTATCGCCAAACTGCATGCGAATCTACAGTTTTTCAAAATAATATTTAAAACAGGAGGAAAAAGCACCTCAGAAATGACATGCCCTCCTCACAAAGGGGGACCTTCAGTTGACTCATCCCACTGTAGGTGAGGCTTGTGAACTCTGAACACCTGCCTGATGTGGTATCTGCCTAGATTTCTCCATTATAAAGCCACTGTTTTGTACGAGAGATTTTGAAACCATGAAAACGCTTTTCTCTTCACACCGCCGCTCACTGATTTTAGCAAGCATAGGTGAATCTTGTTTGCAAAAACCATTGCTGTGGTGTTTGCCATCATTGCTAAAG